TTGAGCCGGTGAGATTAGAACCGCTGAACTGCAAATAACAGTCAGCTGAAGTGGCCTGCACTACTGCACCCTAACCACTGCGCCACCTCAGCTCTTATACAAACAAATGCTATGTTTCAGTTTCCAAACAGTCCCCATTGGCTGACTTATTCCCATGTCTATTCCAGTCTATGAACATTCATATTCTGACAATGAGTTGGGATCACATTGCAAAACAGCAGAATTATCCTGTAGCATCGCATATAATAATCCCCTTCGTTTCTTAAGGTTTACCCATGAAGAAGTAGGAGTAGAATGGACCCTCTCCACGCCTTTCACGCCGCCTTCCGGAAAGCGGCCAAGTTGCCCTATGTCATTTGCCTCGCCACTCCTTTTAAGAATATCCGCTACTTCTCCGCGTGGAAGAAACCGCCACTGTTGGAAGATCAGCCTCTTAAGGAAGTCAGCCACGAAGATATCGCAGCTTTGCCTCCTGGTCATTCCTCGGAAACGTCGAAACTTGAGGAAACTCACCGGTTGAGCTCCACGCCGCGTCCCCGTGGGAAAAATGAGCGCCAGGCTGATGTTGTTCAGAATAAACTCTTCCCAAAATTCCGCGCCAAAGCTGCGCCGTCCACCACTAAGGATGAATTCCAGAACCTGAGAAATGACGATTTTGTCTCCAAGCATAAAACGCCGCAGAGAAGTCTCCGTCTCCCAGAAAGGAATAAAGGCGCAGAAATCTTGTTCGGGACAGCCCCCTGCTCGTTGGCCCTCGGGCGGTCCAAGCGAACGTTTTTCCAGCTCTTCCTCAAAGCGAGCCAAGGCACGACGCCTCCCGGGGCAGAAAAATTTGCCCAGTACGCCGAGGAACATGGGATCCCGGTGAAGAGGGTTCACAGGAAGGTCTTGGATGCCCTTTGTAAAGGGGGCGTCCATCAGGGGGTGTGCTTGGAAGCCTCCCCTCTTCGTCCCCTGGCATGGCAGGAAGGGCCACTCCACCAAGCCCCGGTTGCCAAGGGGTCGCAGTGCATCTGGCTGGTTTTGGAGGGGATACACGATCCCATGAATTTGGGGGCGGTCCTGCGGACGGCGCACTTCCTTGGGGTTGACGGGATTGTGACGAGTGAAAGGAACAGGTGAGATGGTCTTTTTCGGGCTGGGAAAAGCAATATTGGTTGAACAATATATTCAACAAAAGGTTGAACGAAAGAGAATCAGTTCAGTGAAGTGGTTAAGATGCTGGCCTGGAAATCAGGAGATTGTGAGCTCTAGTCCCNCTATTCTATTCTATTCTATTCTATTCTATTCTATTCTATTCTATTCATGCCAAAATCTTTTCCCCACCTTAACATTTAAAAAGTTTATTTTCCACTAAATTGAACAGGCATGATTAAAACACATGTGCGCGTGTGCATGCTCGTGCACACAGGCACGCACGTGTGCACACACATTATTAGGGGAAGAGAATGAGGGAGGGAGGGAATGGGAGACAGAGTGGGAGAGAGGGAGGGAGTGGAAGAGGGAGACAGACAGGGAGAGGGAGTGGGAGAGGGAGAAGAAGTGGGAGAGAGAAAAAAAGAGGGAGGGAGAGGGAAAGGGAGGGAGAGACAGAGAGAGTGAGACAGACAGTGGGAGAGGGAGAGTTTTCAGCATTGTATTATAAACAACCACATCATGTCATGCTGTACTTCAGCACCCAAGAGTTTCTCAGGGCAAGGAACACAGATGCTCCCAGGATCCTTTAGAACAGATAAGATGTTCTTTTTCTTCTCTCTCTCTCTCCCTCTCTCTATCTCTCTCTCTCCCTCCCCCTCCCTCCCTCCCTCTCTCTCTCTCCAAAAAAACCAGAATTCTCTCTCTTTTGTTTTGGAAAAGGGGCTCAGTCTGGAAACTGCAGGAAAACAACAACAACACATTTTGCGCCCTTAGTATCCTATCAAACAATGCCTCTCCGTCATCTTTCTTTTATCAAAAGAGAGAGAGAGAGCATCGTTAAAAACATTGGTCCAACTTGCTCGGAGGTCTGCCTTTCAACGCTCACCCTAGCCGAAGAGCGTGCCGTAATTTGCATACATTTAAATGCTCATTTGCACATGTTCATTCAAGAGTTGTCGACCTCCCCATCGGGAGGGGTGCCGCCCTTTGACCTCTTCCAATCTGGAGCAAAGCGATTGCAGCCAAATACTAGGGGGGGGGGGATATTTTCCCCTCCGTCCCCATCGCCTCTCTTAGAAGCGGGTGCCGTAAACGGCGACACCGTTAATCGGTAGCCCACTGTGCTTTAAAGACATTTAATTTTTCATCCTTAAACAACTGAGCTGGCCTGGCGTCTCCCGTGGCCGACTCCCCCTTCCAGCCTTACTTTCTACAAGGATGGCAGGAACCACAGGGATGAAAAAACGCAAACATGAACTTCCTCGGGCCGTGAAAGAAATACACGTGTGTATAATTTGTGGAAACTGCCTCCTACAAACAGTCAGCATTGATTTTGTTTTAGGATCTTCTTTTTTTAACATATTTTTATTTTTATTTTTTGTTCTCTTACTTACCATTTTAAGTATACATTCACATAATAGTTATTCTTCTTTACATTTATCATTCTTATACATTTATTATT